ACAATTATTTTGATTTAGTAAAATTAGTGCGCTTTCTTTAATTTTACGTTTTTTTGTGGATTGTTCTTTTGTTAAAATTGGGGAATTATTCCATTGAATTTTATGGCAATTATCAAATGCATGTTGACAAAAGTGTGATTTATGATATTCTCTGTTTTTTATGTATGATTGGTGTTCTTTGAGTCTTTTGCCTAATGGTCTTGAGGTTTCTCCTATATAAAATTTACTGCATTCACAAGGAATTTTATAAATTACGTTTTTTGTATTTTCAATTACATCATGAGGTTTTGTTACTGATATTTTACTTCTAATTGTATTTTCAGTTTTGAAGATAGTCCTAATATTAAATTTTTTACCTACTCGTTTAATTTGATCTGAAAGTAATATTAATATGAATTCGTAATATTAATATTAATAAGAACATAGAATATCCGTATTTGTATTWGTATTTCCGTAAAATACATTTTGCTGTCGACCTTTTTTATTTATGAAATTTGGCGTGTTACTTTCTGAAGGCRTTTCGTTTCCTGAAGATGTAAAATAGAAAAAMTCACACGACATTTTGTGATGCATTTATTGGACTAATTAAATGCTTAAAAACATTAATCATTGTTTTTGGAATTTAAAYCCAAAAAAGTTTACAGCTAGGCCCCGGCGAGATTCGAACTCGCGATCTCCTGTTTACTAGACAGGCGCTTTAACCAACTAAGCCACGGCGCCGGGCGAAGATTTTATGAAAATCCCTGCTTCTCAACCCTCAATATTAACGCCCACATTATCAGTAATCAAACATTAGACCTGATGAAATTAATCAAGAGTACAAACACGAGTGGCCAATAGAAACGCCAGAAAAGCTGCAATTAGAAGCAAGAAATAAGTAAAAGTGTCGAAGTAACACATGACATGATGTTATGTAGGACGGATCAGTCGATGTTTGACACACAGACGACAGACTTTTGACAATGACATATCAACATGAGTAATATTACAACAATTTGCAAGCAAACAATAAAAAATGCAATTTCCCTTAATTAAAACAGAGCATTTTGGACAATTATGATCGACAAGATGACCCCGTTCCGTAGAAAGAAAAGTGGCAAGTCGTTTCCAGTGAAAGTGTGCACTCTGGATGCAGAATTGGAGTTCAATCTGGAGGTGCGTGCGTGTTTACCTCGATTTTTCCCAAACTGTGGATGTTAATTGATTAAAACCGCGCCTGATTTCAGTGGAGAGCCACTGGCAGAGACCTTTTCGAACTGGTATGCCGCACAATTGGCCTGCGAGAAACCTGGTACTTTGGGCTACAGTATGAAGACTCCAAGGGCTTCATTTCCTGGCTGAAGTTGGACAAAAAAGGCAAGGAACCCCAACCAATCAACCCACTGGGCCCATGCTCATGCGGTGTTTTGTAGTGCAAGATCAAAGCATCCAAAAAAGCCACCAAACTGCCTCATTCATGTTCTTGGCCAAGTTCTACCCAGAGGAAGTGGCTGAGGAGTTGGTGCAAGAGGTCACTCAACACCTCTTTTTCCTGCAAGTGAAGCAAGCCATTCTGTCCATGGACATTTACTGTCCCCCTGAGGCCTCAGTGTTGCTGGCCAGTTATGCTGTGCAGGCCAAAGTAAGCACCGTCCGCTCCAGACTGGGCGGCTAAACAGCTTTACTTTTGCAGTTTGGCGACTTTGATGAAGACACCTACAAGCCGGGAATGCTTGCCAGTGAAGATCTCCTGCCCCAGAGAGTCATCGATCAGTATCAAATGACGCTGGAGATGTGGGAGGAGAGGATCCGGGTTTGGTACGCCGATCATCGCGGTAAGACCTTTAGAGGGCTTTAAACGTTCCGGGAGTTGATTGAGTTCCTTGCCGAAGGCATGTCAAGGGACGAGGCCGAAATGGAGTATCTAAAAATCGCCCAGGACTTGGATATGTATGGAGTGAACTATTTCAACATTCAGAACAAAAAAGAGACTGAGTTATGGCTGGGCGTGACGGCCCTCGGACTGAACATTTACGAGAAGGAGAACAAGCTGCAACCAAAAACCACGTTCACGTGGAGCGAAATAAGACACATTAGTTTCGACGATAAGAAATTTATCATTAAGCCTGTAGATAAGAATTCACCCAACTTCGTATTCTTTAGTCACAAAGTTAGAATGAACAAACTGGTGAGCAAATGCCCCGTTGGCAACTCTACGCGCCCTTACGCCCGCTAATTGCAGATTTTAGACCTGTGCATGGGCAACCACGATCTCTTCATGCGTAGGCGCAAACCTGACTCGATGGAGCTGCAGCAGATGAAAGCAGCCGCCAAGGAGGAGAAGCAAAGACGCCAAGTGCAGAGAAACCGGTAATTAACGAAGTGAAATCCTCAAACGCGAGGTCTAAAAGCCTATTTTCTCAGGTTAGCCCGGGAAAAGCAGCTGCGCGAAGAAGCCGAACGAGACAGAGCCAACATGGAGCAACGGTTGCTGCAATACCAGGAAGAAATCCGCTTGGCGAACGAAGCACTGGTTGGTCCAGCTCTGAATCAGGCATCTGATGGATTGCTAATAAACATGTGGATTTCAGAGGCGATCCGAAGAGACGGCTGATTTGCTGGCCGAGAAGAGCCGAGTGGCTGAAGAAGAATCCACTCTGCTCAGCCAGAAAGCTGCTGAGGCCGAGCAGGAAATCACCAGGCTGCGCCTGACTGCGATGCGGAAAGACGAAGAAAAGGTCAGCAGTTGTGCGGCATTTTTGGACACAACGTTGAATTTGGCGTGTTGCAGGTGACGTTGGAGAGGAAAACTCGCGACGCCGAGTTGCTTACCGCCCGCCTGGTGGAGGAGTCCGAGCGCAGAGCGGCCGAGGCAAACAAGCTGAAAGACGAGCTGCTCAAAGCGCGGGCCGCCGAAAAGCAAGCCAAAGAAAAGCTGTTGGACTTTTTAAGCCGCAGCACCTTATCAGGATCCTCGCCCGTTTCTCCAATCTCGGTAGGCCCTTTCCCGGGTTTCTCTTCTGTTCTCTACCTGGACCACCTGATTTGTTTCAGTCTGTTACTACTTTATATTCCGCTCCTTTGTCGCCTACTACCATGCACTCGGAGCTGTCGTTGTTGGAGAGCGAGACCAGCCCGTCGCCGGACTTCAACCTGAACATCAACTCCTACGATTTGATCGCGCACGCCGACGCTGAACAGCTATCTTTGGAAATCGAAAAAGAACGGTAAGGTCGCATTCTAGATGTAAGCATCGCATCAGTCGCATTGTGCTGTTGCTAGGGTGGAGTACTTGGAGAAGTCCAAGCACCTGCAAAACCAGCTGAGGGAGCTGCGCACCGAAATAGAGGTCCTGAAAGTGACGGAAAAGGCCTCCGAGTACGACCAGTTGCATGAGGAGCAGGTGAAATTGGGCGAGAACAAGTACTCGACGCTCAAGAAGAGCAAAAGCGGCAGCACCAAAAGTCGCGTGGCCTTCTTCGAGGAATTATAAACCCTGCTGCACTATCTGGTATATGATCGTTTCCAGGGACAGCAACTAACGCAAAACAGTGCCTTATCATTAGTAGTTAAACAGCTTAACGCGAGAGATCGCGAGGTTCCAATTTATTTCAACATCGATGGCAAGTTGTTGAACGTTCCGGAAAGTCTCGGCTTTCACGGTATACCTATGCTTGAAACTGGTGAGTTTTTCTCGGAGAAGTCACAAAAACTGACCAGTTTCTGTTCGGAAAGTTTTCATCGAGTAGTTTAAGAGAGCACTTGTTACGAAGTAATTGAAAATGACATAGTTTATTGTTTTAACTGAAAGGAGCATTACATATTTTTTAAACAAACACTGCTTTGTGCTTTTTTGCAAAACGAGCATACAAAAAGGGTTGATTTTATTGAAAAGGTGTCAAGATAAGTACATCAGTGTCGGCTTAAAGTAAATGTTAGTAGAGTATCACTAAATGTGCATAAATCCCCAACTTTGCTGGACCTTTTTAGAGGCAACGCGAGCTTTATGCACCTATTTTGGGGTAGTAACATGTAGTAGAATAGAATATAATCAAAGAGTAACAAAAGATAAAGTAGTATTTAGAATCATAAATAATATTCGATCTTAAGTAATCCACACAGCCTAAAACGTCATTATACAAGATCGCCCAAAATGCATTTGCACTCAAAAAATTCCAGTTTTGTACTATTGACTTTTGTCAAAAACCACCAGCTGCATGAAACCTTGTATAGACTAGAATTTTCGAATAATCGTAAAATAATTTAAGTAGCATATCAATTTTTTCAAACACTCAATTCTTCCAGGAAACGCTTTGGTTTCGTCAATTGCAAGTGAGTGAATTTCGCACAAAGAAATCACACACTCTAGTCGGAACCATCGAAAATATCCGACTTTTGCAGCGCTCCCTTTGAATGATGGTTCTCATACTCGACCACTAATCCTTCATCGTTGGGTTTCAACGAGTCGTTGTCGATGTGAAGTCGAATTTCCGTCGGCGCTGCTACCATTGACCCATGAGGCCCTTTCACCAGTTGGGCGACATCAAGACCTAATTTTTTTAGGCAAAACAATATACCGGGTGTCTCGTGAAAGTATCGGAATTTTCACCTAAATGCTGGACTTGACCCAAGTGGTGATGGTGGTGGTGTTCGCTCGAGCTCTCCCCACTGTGATGGTGAGGGTGGTGCGGATGGTGCGCGGGTTTTTCCAGAGAATCTTTCGCATCCATATCCACCACGTCGTTTGGATGGTGCACGATCCCCATGCCGATGTGCGAACCTGCCGCAGTCCGCGGGCGTTTTCAATAGGAAATACATTGAAGACAACGTGCTCACCTCGCTGATTGCTGGCTACGCCCTCCAAGCCGAACGTCTTGGGCAAACCCTCCAGGTCTTTGTTGATCTTCTCATTTCGCCTATCAATGTCCAGGTCGGCGTCCAGATTAGCCAAAGCGGTGTGCTAGTGAAACCAAGCGTTAGTCCTGCAATGCAATGGTATACACCAAGGGCGGAGATCCAGGGGGGGTCATGGGGGTCATAATCCCCCCCATTCTATTCTCTATCCAACGATGCCAAAACGAGTTCTCTGGCTCGAATGGTTCTTGAGAAACCTCGAAAAAAGCAGCGTCATGTTCAAGTGGGTTTTGCAACTCAAAGAAAACCACGCAAATCTAAAACTTCTTGAATTCAAGCATTTTTTGAGAAAACTGCCAACATTTTCCCATTCATGGTTCACTTTCTAAAAAGGCCATTTATTTCTGTCTAGAAGGATGTACAAATGAGCGTTCTTGCTCATTTTGCCTCCGAGAAATGAGCAAAAATGGCACGGAAAACATGGAATTTTGGCATAATCTTGCACCTAAGTGTCTTATATTCAAATTTCACTTTCTGGGTCAAAACTACTCGAATTTCCTCACTCA